ATAGGCAATTAACTGGACCTGACGTTATCCGAGAAACTACCGATAAGATTATGGTAATCAGAAATCGACTCAGGGCTGCAAGGGATCATTAGAAAAGTTATGCCGACAATCGGAGGAGACCATTGGAGTTCCAAAATGGTGATAAAGTTTTTCTAAAGATCTCACCATGGAAAGGAGTGATGCGCTTTGGAAAGAGAAGCAAGTTGGGTCCTCGATATATTGGTCCCTTTGAGATAACAGAAAGGATTAGGCCAGTGGCATACAAGTTAAATTTGCCTTCGGAGTTAACCGTTATCCATAACACATTCCATGTATCAAATCTCAAGAGATGCTTAACAGACAAAACTTAAGTGGTGCCACTGGGGGATGTGCAAATTAACGATCAACTGCATTTTACGGAAAAACCACTAGAAATCATGGATAGAGAAGTTAAGCAGTTGAGGCATAGCAGGATCCCTATAGTAAAAATTCATTGGAACTTCAAGCATGGACCGGAGTATACGTGGGAAAGGGAGGACTTCATGAAAAACAAGTATTCCCACCTGTTCTCAAAGCCAACCATGATTTGAATTTTGACGATTAAATTTCTGGACGAAATTTTTCTGGCTTGGGGAGACTGTGACAATCCTGCTTTTTGGGATTTCAGGTCAGTACCTTAATTCGGGACCTTTATTGAAAACTAAGTCTTTCTAGGATTTAGGCCCCATGATCTGAGATCATCTTACTTATCTCCCAAGATTAGTTGTTAGATCATGTTTCAGCAGGTAGCTAACCAAGTTGGTTTATGCAATGCCAAATAGTCTTGAAATGTTTTGCATAAAATAAGGACGATATTTAAATTCCAAAGTTCCAATTTCTTTTATATATAGTTTCCAATTAATTTAAAGAGTTGTGTCTTCTTTAAAAATCTTTTGTCTATTTATTTTGTTTAGGTAAATTAGTGGGGTTTTATTATTTAGAAAAAAAAACATTTTGGGCTTGGGCCTTTAGAGGCCAGCCCATTCCTTCTCAAGAAGCCCCCATATAAATACCCCTCCCCTTTTTGAAAACTCTTCATTCTCCAAAACTTCAGCTATTCTGTTTTCTCTCTCTCTCTCTCTAACTCCATCACCTTCCAACGGTTCTAATCTCCTTGCAAAACTCAAGGACTCTTGTTGTTCGTGAGACTTGTTCGTGTCATTCTGTCAAGAAAAGGTATGTTTTAAAGTTGTCATATTTTCTTTTAGATGTCCGAAAGTCTTTATCCTTCTCTCTACTTGATTCTTTAAGTAAAATTTTGGGATTTGAAGAGGAGAGATTATTCATCCAAGACCTGCATGTGTCTTCGTTGGGATAATAATCTATGACCCATGTTCTTTAATCGCTAAGAAAGAAGGAGAGAATCCTTGCATGTGAATGTCCGATCATAATCTCGGATGATAGAATCTTGCATGCATCTTTAAATCAGTTTTCTCATCTTGTAAACTCGCTGGAATCGGAATTTTATTTGTTTTATTTTTTCTGGAATTTCTTTGAAGATGATGTTTTGTGTTAGAGTTTTGGGAGGCGTACGACTCAAGGATGTAGAATTTTGAAAATAGTGTTAAACGCACTCAAAATCTCTTGATTTTGAGATTTGGTGGCTGTCATCATTATTTTGAGATGACATTTAATGATGTCATTATTACGATTTTGGAAGGTTCCTTTTTATTTAATAATAAAATATCGGCCTTATTTTATGAAAACGCTTGATGGCTTTGCATTGGGAACAACTTTGTTCTACCTTAGGCAAGAAACCGTTGAGTAATGTAGCGCTGGTTGGTCCATCAGGAAGTTCGAGCAAGTTTAGGAAGCCTCTAAAGGAAGCATTCGGATATTCGTCAAACTTGTGAGTTCTCACGGCCCCACTTTTACTGCTTTTATATATTTTGTGGGGGAAAAGCATGAGATTGAGCAAACTTTGCATGTTTATGATATATGAAATTTTGGGACTAAAGAACTGTTTAGTCGATGTTTTGCTCAAAACTTTTGGACTATGGAACTGCTTAGTCAAACTCTATTGAAACCTCTGGACTAAGGAACTGCTTAGTCGGGTTTATTATGTTTTGTTTTGATAAATGTTATTGCACTTAGAATAAATGCTAAATTGATGTGCTTGGGAGTACATGTTTCCAAATAAAAGTCCCCGTCCGTAAACGCTACTTGTTAACTCGGGTACATCCCCGGGTCGTGGTATTGTGGATAGCCGCTATTGTGTTGATAGTCCCACCCAGAAAGGGGTGCACAATTACCTACATTTTCTAAGTCTAATCATGTGGAATTTGGACCACCGCTGAATTAGTACTCTATCGAACCGTGGGACCTAAGTAGTGAACGGGCTACTTCTGGTTGTTCGAAAATTAATGGGGCAAATTGGTCA